TTATAACTTAATGCCTTTATTTGCAAAAAAGATCACATTCTGGCACTTGTATTTAGTAAATGGTCTGCTGTAGCCACTAGGTCTTTCTTTGCAGTATTGCAGGCTAGTCAGTCCCTCCTTATCTGTATTTATGTATGTATTTTTTAATCCAAAGTGAAGAACTCTGCACTGATCCTTGTTGAATTTTATATGGTTGATTGTGGACCATTTTTCCAGTGTATCCAGGTAATTCTGGATCCTTGCCCTGTGCTTTAGAGTATCTGCAGCTCCACCCATCTTGGTGTCATCTGCATACTGCATGTCTACTGATCATGCATTCAATTGCATTGTCTAAATCATTAATACAGATATTAAACAATATTGGACCTAGAACAGACTTCTGAAGAACACCACTTGATACCTCCTCCCAACAAGACATTGAGCCATTGATGAGTACTCATGGAGCTTGGTGATCCAATCAGTTATATATCCACCACAAAGTGCTTTCCTCTAGTCTGTATTTCCTTCTGTTTCTTTTGAAATTAAATAGATTGAAAGGCTGAACATAATCACTGGCTATGCTAAATTAGAAGGACATTTGTTAAAGGGAGAATAAGCATCAAATAAACCAGTACATTGGTAAAAGTATATTCCAGGGCAGCACAACACTAGATCTAACATTTTTCAAGATTTTTTGGCACATTCATTTTGTGGGAAATAAAAAAAAAAGGGATATTCAGTGATTTGCTTAGGGCAGTGTTTCAGGTTTTAATCTCAGAGTGATAATCAAGAAGCTGTACCAAGACCTCAGGCACTAAAATAGACCCAACAGATTAAAGTAATTGAAACAGTGAATGAAAAGGAGGCTGTGAAACAGCGAGTCCCATCACCAACACACCTATAATGTTCAGAAGAAATAAGTGCTAAGCTAAACCCCTGACCAGTTGAAGTTTCCAGCATTTGGGTTGCTAGAGTGAAATCTTTTTACCCCTCACAAAGTCCCTCATGGCGTTCTTGACCTTTTCATTCCTCAGACTGTAAATGAAAGGATTCAGAGGTGGTGTGACCACCACTGATAACATACCCACTGCCTTCTGGACATCTGGTGAGCGTCCCTGGCTTGGCAGGCAATACATGAAAATGGCACTGCCATAGAAAATAGAGGCCACAGTAATGTGGGAGGCACAGGTGGAGAAAGCCTTCTGTCTCCCCGTGGATGAGCGGATGCGCAGGATGGTGCTGATAATGTATGCATAAGACCCAAGCGTGAAGACTAACGAGCTGGCCTGCACAACTGCAGCAAGGACAGACTCTATAGTCAAGAGCAGGTTGGTGTCGATACAGGAGAGCCGGACTAAGGGGGCATAGTCACAGAAGAAATGGTCTATTATATTGGGGCCACAGAAGGGCAACCTGCTTAGCAGGATGATGGAGGAAAGTGGGAAAAGGCATCCACCCAGCCAGCATCCCAAGACGAGGAGGGCACAGACACGCTTATTCATGATGAGATGGTAGTGGAGAGGGTGGCAGATAGCAACATAGCGGTCAAGGGACATGACAGCAATCAGGAAGAATTCAGCAATGCCCAGGAAGAAGTAGAAGTAGCACTGGGTGATGCAGCCCCAGAAGGTGATGGTTTTGTCCAGAGACAGCAGGTTTTCCATCAACTTTGGGATGACAGAGAAAATGAAGAGGATCTCCAGAATGGACAGGTTACAGAGGAAGAAGTACATAGGGGTACGGAGCTGATGATCTTTAAATACCAGGGTGATGATCAGGAGGTTCCCAGTCAAGGTCAATGTGAAGATGGCTAGCAGCAGCACAAAGAATAGGATGTCCCATGGCCAGGGCATGGAGAAGCTCAAGAGGACAAATTCAGTCACAGCACTGCTGTGGTTGTGCGGCTTCATAGCTACAGCATATTCCCTGGGAAGAGAGGAAACACACTTAGCTTAATAAACTCACAAGTATTCTCTTTTCCTTCTGAATCTTTCTTTCTTTATGTTTCTGCCTGCTTGTCTCTCCCCAGTACAGTTCTCCCTTTTTCTTTCTTTCTTTTTCTTTTCCTGTTCTTGTTGCTCTCACACACAACCACTTAGACAATCAGTTTACTTGCATTTGAATGTATGATTTAGGATGTCTAATCTGGCTTTAAACACCTAACTGCATAATTCATCAAACATTTCCAATAACAAAAGGCAGAAAAGTGAAGCACAGAAACATGATGAAATTAGGCAAAAGCAGAGAAGGTATATCGATTAAAAAAAAAAAAAAGAAAATCCTTAGGAAAGGATTATAGGCCATTCATATCTCCTATTTCCATCCCCTCCTTCCCCACCCTCCAAGTCCTATTAAAAAATGACATCTGAAGATACTGAGGGAAATAAAGGCAGGCATTTAAAAAAAGATGCCAGTTTTGTTGTTGTAATTTATGGAACCCAAAATGAGAGGTTCAGTAGAAGTTAGAAATGAGCTACACTCAATTTCTGATAATAAGCATGGACTTTATTTGCAGATAGAGTAACATATAGATTAATAGTATAATACTGAATGGTTCAAGATACAAGCCAACCACATAAGAAGGATGAGCTAGAGACTTTCATAACGTGTTCCCTACCTGATTATGGCAAGACTCCTTTAAATCTCTTCTGAAGTCTTTGGTGCTGCACATCTTTGGACAGAAATGATTACACTAGATAGCATGCCGATCCAATCCTTCTGGGCAAGACCGTGTTCCTACAAACATCATAACAGTCCTGCATAGGTCTGAAACTTTACTACTGTAATATTAGATAGCTGTAGTCACTGCTATTAAGAAAGACAGACACATATGAGAGAGACAGAGGGAGGGGAAAAATACCCTGTGAAAGAGCAGTGGTTCTTTGTACAGGTTTTCCTGTGCGTGACATTTTTCCTTTTATTGATAAGACCAAGGAGATACATGTATCTTAAAAGAACAGTTCAAAGTACACAGCTGGTGATACCCAGGAGGCCGAACCTTGGGACGTTCCCTAGCACTGACACAGAGAGACAGAAAAAGCGTGGAGGTCAGAAAATGTTCTTGTCACACCTGATTCACTACAGTGGACTCTGATGCACAGATAGTCATTTTCTGGTGACAATTTTCACACCTGCCCAGGGCACCAGTATGACGTTTGAAAATGTCCAATATGCAAATATTTTCCAGAACACACATCTTTAGCAACTATCTTCTGAGATGGCCAAGACAAATGTGGATGTCCTTTGAATACAGGGAGATTTCAGGGATCTGTCCCAGAATGATAAGCCCTTAAATTTGTTTTGTTAACTTCTCAAGCATGTTTTTAGTGGCAAACAAACAAACAAAAAAACAAAACAAGACAAGGAGGGCTCACTATATCTTTCAGGAATTAATTTGACAGATACAAAAGTTGTGCATGGAAGGACTTCATTGGACAGAAAAACGTACGCTGTCAGAATCTTACCATCCCTGACCATGGTCGAAGTCTGGCAGATGGGGTTGTGGGTCAGAATTTGGGACCAATATCAGAGCCGGATGTAGGTTGGTGTGTATAGGTGTTTCATGGCAAACAGAGTATGTGTGCTTGTATGAACGAGAGAAAGCTGCCTTGTGTGCTGCAGATCACTGTATATGTGTAGGTGGTGCTCCTGCAAAGAGTGAGTGGCATAAAGATGGTTGAGAGAGAGAGATCACCTGACTTTGGAACAGCATGTGGCAGCATTTGGGTCAGGTCAGAAAAAAAGAGCTTATGAGTCATATAGTCCTATATCTGTAGAAACATAAGGTGGAATATTGAGATTAAGGCATACTGCCGATGTATCCACATTGAATTTAGAGATGCCTCCTCAGAGCTGAAGATTGATGAACTGGTGGCATACAAAAGGCATCCTTATTTTGTTATATATATCATAACATTCTATTTTTTAAAAATATTGAAGGGAAGCATTCTTGACTCCAGTACAATTCCCTACGAACAATTTTTTTTTTACTTGAAAAAAGAAATGGAAAATATATTTTGGAAACTTCAGACTTTAATTTTGAAACTATATTTCCATTTTTAATGAAAATTGTTTAAGCTTGTACTACTTTTCCTATCTTTATTCATGCATTCCTATGGCATTTCTTCTGTCATGATTGTATATAAAACAGGAAATATATTAGAGGCAGACAAGGTTCCTTGGGTGAATCTGATATCTTTTATTAGACCAACCCAAATAGTTGGAGAATAGTTATTAAGCAAGCTTTCGGGTTCAAAAGCCCTTCGTCAGGCTGAGGAAGTTTCAGCAGTGAGTGTGTGCTCTTCCTGGATGGAATGAAAAGTCATGGAATGAAAGGAATGAAAGGAAATATATTACACATTTATACAACACAGATACCATTCATGGCATATTATGACAAAGCATCTAGTACAGGTCACTAGCACAATTATGACATCATAGAACAATTGAAAATTTCATCATTTTTTCATTTGATTTTTAATGAATAATAAGGACACCCAGATAGCAGGCCTGTGTGAAGCAGAAAGTATTTGATTCGGATTCGCCAGTTCGGATGGACAGTGATTCGATTTGGTGATTCAAATCGCTATCCCAATTCAATTCGGCCGAATCCAAATCTGAAAATATTCTGCGCCGAATCTTATTTGGCCATGGACTATACAGGCAGACAGTGCTGGCGGGAGCAGCTGGGGGAGCTTCTGGACGAGCCCCAGCTTGAGCCGACAGCCCTGGGAGAAGCCATGACTCGTCCTGCTGCTCCCTCAGCTGTCCCCTGCCGGGGCAAGGCGGGCAGTGCTGGCAGCCCTGGGAGAAGTTGTGGAGGCTGGGAGGGAATGACCAGGATGTTGGGGGAATGATTGGGAGCTGGGAGAATGATTGGGGAGCTGAGGAATCAAACTGGGAGCTGGGAGGAAGCCCCTGTTCATTCCCCCAACTCTGCAATCATTCCCCTGAACTCCTGGTTCAATTCCCTAGTTCTCAGTTCGATCCCCTCAGGTCCCAGTTCGATCCCCCAGCTCTCCAATCATTCCCCCCAGTTACCAATTTGATCCCCCAGCTCCCCAATCATTCCCCCCAGCCCCCACGGCTTCTCCCGGGGCTGCCAGCACTGCCTGCCTTGCCCGGTGGGGGGGAGGGCGTCAGCCAGTGGAGCCACCAAATGAGGTGTGGTTTCTCCCGGGGGTGCCAGCTCAAGCAGGACTTGTCCAGCTGCTCCCCCCAGCGCTGCCTAGTGCCCGCCTGTACAGTCTATGGCCAAATCTCCAAATCTCTCTGAACTGATTTGGACTC